ATATATATATATATATATATATATATATATATATATATATATATATATAAAAGCCACAAAAGAGGTTCTGCTTTAAGTGGAGGAGTTCAAGTATCGCAGGGTTTTGTTCACGAGTGAGGGAAGAATGGAACTGGAGATTGACAGACGCATGGTGCAGTGTCTGCTGTATTGTGGACTCTGTGCTGGTCCATTGTGGTGAAGAGGAAGCTGAGCTGTAAGGAAAAGCTCTCTGTTTACTGGTCGGTCTACGTTCCTACCCTGACCTATGGTCACGAGCTCTGGGTAGTGAGTGAAAGAATGAGATCTTGGATACAGGCGGTTGAAATGAGTTTCCTCCACAGGGTAGCTGGACTCTCCCTTAGAGATAGGGTGAGAAGTTCAGTTATCAGGAGAGACTCAGACTAGAACCTCTGCTCCTCCACATCGAGAGGAGCCAGTTGAGGTGGTTCGGGCATGTCCGACAGGGAGGAGACCCTGGGGAAGACCCAGAACACACTGGAGAGACTATGTCTCTTGGTTGGCCTGGGAACGTCTTAGAGTCCTCCCAGAAGAGCTGGAAAGAGATGTCTGGACCTCCCTGCTCAAGCTGCTGCTCCCGAGATCTGACTTAGGAACAATCGGAAGATGATGGATGGAATCCTGAGGCCACTGAACCTGAATCCCTCCACCCCCTGGCTGCACTGAGAAATTCTGTCCATGAAACATGAACAGAATCCTCAGGAAAATAATGTTATCAACTTACTTATATATAAACTGAGCTGAACAGAATTGTGACAACGGGCAGCCCTGGCAAAGTCCACCTCCCACCCTGAAGGAGTCCGGCTTACTACCAGCAATGCGAACCAAACTCTCGCACCACTTGTATAGGGAATGAACAGCCTGTAACAACAGGGCCCCAATCCCATACTCACGGAGCACCCCCCACAGTGTACCTCGAGAAACACAGTAGAAAGCCTTTTCTAAGTCCACAAAACACAACTAGACTGGATAAACACAACTAGACTGGATATATATAGGGGTGGCTGTGGCTGAGTGGTTAGAGCAGTCGTCCTCCAATGCAAGAGTTGGGGGTTCGAATCCACCAGCAGTCACATGTCGAAGTGTTCCTGGGCAAGACACTGAACCCCTCAATGCCTCTGATGTGTGTCCCATCGGTGTAAGAATGTGATAAAGCTTTGATTAGTCTCTTTAGAATGATTTGTTCAATTAGCTTTGTATAGATCTAGTAGAGTGCTGTATGAATGTGTAGTGAACTAAGCCTCCGGTCAAGACCTGCCTCTGAAGACCTTCATGTGACAGGAACTGTTATTTCATTGATTTGAATCCAGAAATACAAATTAGCTCATCCAGAGACTTTCTAATTGTATCCTGAACTAATCAATTGAAAGAACACTCTCTTTTTCATATTATCATTACTATTTTACAATGTCTTGATAATCAAAAGTGTGTTTAGTTCAAACCATTTTTAAATGTTGAAGTGAACCACTCATTTTAAATCAACTGTGAAACAGTATTAATGATTTTTAATCCTCATTCAAAGTAGAAATCAAGTTAAATGTCTGTTACAAAGTAATTATGCATTTTTGATCTTCTGTCTGAAATGAGAGTGATGTCGGTCAAAAGTCGGAGACAGTCCGAAGCAAGTTATTGGAACGAACTGTCATGTTTTTAAACCTCTCAGACAGAAACAAGAAAACTGGCACCTGTAAGTCTGTCATTTCTCCAAAACATTTCTCTGTCTGTTCCTAAACATCACCGCTGTTTTTCTGACTTGTAATGACCCTCTGACGTCACTAAAACCACACCCCTGTTGGTTCTTTCAACCAATCAGGACTTCCCAAAAGTGACCGGAAGCAGAACTCTTTAAAAGTCGACACTTCCTAGTTCCAAAAAGAACAGAAGTTCCGAACGAGAACAGAAGTTCCGAAAGTTCTGAAGTGCTGGAGTTAGTTGGGAGTTCTTCTGAGTCTAGTTGGGATTATGGAATCTTCCACATCTGAGTGGAACCGCTGACGGACTCACAGCTCATGCGAGTCCACCCGGGAGGTGAGCGTGTTCTTGGAACGGAGTACCGTCACTACTTCGGACGATTCTCAGCCATCCTGAGGAGACGCTGAAAGGTAGCGTTGAAATGATATCCTGATATGGCCAGATATCCTGAATCAAGATCAGGTTTCTTAAGTTAAGGTTTAAATACAGCAACCTTAAAGTGCTGTGGTGTGTAACCATTCATTAAGACAAATTAAGCAGATCTAAAATGGGGATATGAATTAGGAGAAATAGCTCTTTGAAAAGTTTGATTGAGATGAGATCAAAATAAGATCGGACATGACACATGAATGGCTGATTGATGGATGAGCCACATGATTGGCATGGAATTTTTAATTTAAAATAAATTATTTAAATTATTTAGCACCTGCTGCACCTCTGTGCAGCCCACACTGCAGGATAAACTTCCTGATGCAGCTGATCAGCTGTTCTCCGTGCAGAGCTTTGAAGTAGGCGTGGCCCCGAGCGCTTGCAGACAGCAAAGAGCAGACGAGGCAGGGAGCTGAAATCATGACATTCTGCGCTCTTTTAGAGCTTTTACAGATTAGAAACATTGTTTAGAATATTGCAAAAGTGTGGGAATATCGCTCTCTCGCGCTCTCTCTCTCTCTCGCGCTCTCTCTCTCTCGCGCTCTCTCTCTCTCTATATATATATTTTTTTATATATATATATATATATATATATATTTATATATATATATACACACACACACACACACACACACACACACACACACACACACACACACACAGGTCCTTCTCAAAAAATTTGCATATTGTGATAAAGGTCAGTATTTTCCATAATGTAATGATAAAAATGAAACTTTCATATATTTCAGATTCATTGCACACCAACTGAAATATTTCAGGTCTTTAATTGTTTTAATACTGATGATTATGGCATACAGCTCATGAAAACCCAAAATGCCTGTCCCAAAAAATTAGCATATCATGAAAAGGTTCTCTAAACAAGCTATTAACCTAACCATCTGAATCAACGACGTAACTCTAAACACCTGCAAAAGATTCCTGAGGCTTTTAAAAACTCCCAGCCTTGTTCATTACTCAAAACCGCAATCATGGGTAAGACTGCCGACCTGACTGCTGTCCAGAAGGCCATCATTGACACCCTCAAGCAAGAGGGTAAGACACAGAAAGAAATTGCTGAACGAATAGGCTGTTCCCAGAGTGCTGTATCAAGGCACCTCAGTGGGAAGTCTGTGGGAAGGGAAAAGTGTGGCAGAAAACGTTGCACAACGAGAAGAGGTGACCGGACCCTGAGGAGGATTGTGGAGAAGGGCTGATTCCAGACCTTGGGGGACCTGCGGAAGCAGTGGACTGAGTCTGGAGTAGAAACATCCAGAGCCACTGTGCACAGGTGTGTGCAGGAAATGGGCTACAGGTGCTGCATTCCCCAGGTCAAGCCACTTTTGAACCAGAAACAGCGGCAGAAGCATCTCGCCTGGGACTGCTGCTGAGTGGTCCAAAGTTATGTTCTCTGGTTACAGTAAATTTTGCATTTCCTTTGGAAATCAAGGTCACAGAGTCTGGAGGAAGAGAGGAGACACAGAATTCACATTGCTTGAGGTCCAGTGTCAAGTTTCCACAGTCACTGGGGTGTAATGTCATCTGCTGGTGTTGGTCCACTGTGTTTTATCAAGCGCAGGGTCAATGCAGCTAGCTATCAGGAGATTTTGGAGCACCTCATGCTTCCATCTGCTGAAAAGCTTTACGGAGATGAAGATTTCATTTTTCAGCATGACCTGGCACCTGCTCACAGTGCCAAAACCACTGGTAAATGGTTTACTGACCATGGTATTACTGTGCTCAATTGGCCTGCCAACTCTCCTGACCTGAACCCCATAGAGAACCTGTGGGATATTGTGAAGAGAAAGTTGAGAGACGCAAGACCCAACACTCTGGATGAGCTTAAGGCCGCTATCGAAGCATCCTGGGCCTCCATCACACCTCAGCAGTGCCACAGGCTGATTGCCTCCATGCCACGCCGCATTGAAGCAGTCATTCATGCAAAAGGATTCCCGACCAAGTATTGAGTGCATAACTGAACATGATTATTTGAAGGTTGGCGTTTTTTGTATTAAAAACACTTGTCTTTCATTGGTGGGATGAAATATGCTAATTTTTTGGGACAGGCATTTTGGGTTTTCATGAGCTGTATGCCATAATCATCAGTATTAAAACAATTAAAGACCTGAAATATTTCAGTTGGTGTGCAATGAATCTGAAATATATGAAAGTTTCATTTTTATCATCACATTATGGAAAATAATGACCTTTA